ATTGGCTTTAGTGACATTTTAGAAAGAAAATAAACTCTGCTAACTAATCTGTTGCAGAGAAATATACTTGATTTATGTGTTAAATAATGAGAACTTCACTTCTCATTTTATGGCTTTGAGAAGGTTGTTTTGTCTTTTTTCTTTCTCTTTTTTTTAGCATGCTATAGGGTGCATGTACTTTCCAGAGAGACAGAGAAAGTGAGACAGCGCCCCCTATGGGGCAGGAGGAGAATCCATGCCCCAATCTTTTTCTCTGTTCTTGGGGTTTTAGACATGCATGGTGTGTTTTTCAAGCCACAGGGTCTGGGACTGGAACTGTGCAGTGGATCATGTGGTATTCAATCACTTTAACCACCAAGCCACCTGACTGGCCCTGTTGTGTCTTTTCAAATCACTTTCTAACTACAAAATCGTATATTTTCATTGTATGAAAACCAGAAAATATAAATCAATAAAATGAAAGTGAAATTATTCACAATCCTACCCTCCAAAGGAGAGAAAAATTCTGTTTTTTAAATTAATTAATTTTGGGGGCTGGCAGGTGGCATGGTGGTTAAAGGAACTGGACTCCCACATGGCTGACTGCAGTTCAAGTCCCGGACTGGTGGCTTGCTTTCTCACTTTCCCTCTCACTCTCTCTCAGTCTCTCTCTGATCAAACTGAAAAATAATAATAATAAATAAAGTTAAATAAAATAATTTTAAAATTTTTTAATTAATATTCTTTTTTAATTGTCAAAGGATACATGTTAGCCAGAGAGAAACAGAGAGAGAAAGAAAGGGAGAAAGAGAAGGCGCCTTCTCCCAATGAGGAGTGGTCACACTACAATCCCTTCTCTATGTCCATCCTGTCAGGATTTGGGGCATGCACACACATGTGCCCAGAATGTTTCTCAAGCTGATGGGCCTAGATTTGAACCACAGTAGGCCACGTAGGATCTGATTCCCTTAACCCACTATATCACAGGACGGATCAGAAAACTTTTTTCAGTATATTTTTATACATTTGAAATTACACACACACACACACACACACACACACTCACACACACGGGCAAGAAGGTCGCATAATGGTTAAAGCACTGGACTCCCACATGGCCAACCACAGTTCGAGTCCCAGACCTGGTGACTTGAAAATCGTACTGGGCACTTGTGCGTGCATGCCCAAAACCCCAGGAAGAGAATGGAGGAGAAGGCATTGTGGCATGGCCATCCCCCCCATGGGGTGATTCCTCACTTTCTCTCTCACTGTCTCTGTCTGTCTCTGGCTAGTACACACACCTTATGGCAAAAAACTAAAGTGTAAAAATATGTATATACACACCCATTTATTTATTTGATGCAGCTTTTTACTGGCTCCTTCCATGTGAACTCCTGAGAGCAAGGATTGAGTTTGTCAAGCCCCTGGCTTAGTTCACTGTTAGAAGTGTCCAGAGGCCATTTCCCCAGGAAGGACAAAATTAGCTGTTCTGTCCTGAGCCAAGATTGGGAGAGCCGGCCCTTGCTTGTCAAGCGCTGTGGACGAAACCCATGTGTCTGCATCTTAACAGATACATCCAAGCTCGTCCTGAGAGTTCTCAGGTTTCTTCTAATGGTTTGTGGTAGTTGAAAGATGAATGGGAAAGGCTGAGAAATAGCAGAGAAAGGAGAGAGGGACCGTATTCATTCCAGACACACCAGAGTGGTCAGAGTCACTTCACCCACCTTTCTGCCCTCCACTTTTCTTTTCCTAAACTGGAGCATATTTTAAAACAGTTTCTGGGACCAGCAGATGGCATAATGGCTATGTCGTTGGACTCCCATGTAGTCGACCACGGTTCAAGTCCCGGACCCGGTGGCTTAAACTCATGCCAGGCACATGTGCGTGCGTGCCCAAGATCCCAAGAAGAGAATGGAAAAGAAGGGATTATGACATGGCCACTCTTGTGGAGGGTGATTTCTCGCTTTCTGTCTCTCTGTCTTTCTGGAGAGCGCATGCAACCCTATAGCAAAAACCTAAAAATTATAATAAACAAAACCCAAAAATAAATAAATAACATTTAAAAATAAATAAAAATAGTTCCCAAAGTGAAGAAAAAGATTAAGTTGCATCCACACAATGGCATTCGATGCAACTATAAAAAGGATCGAGGATTATGTATCTACCACTATGGAATGGCCGCTAGGAAATCTTATGAAATGCAAAAAAAGCCAAGTGGAAAAAGGTATGCACAAGGAGATTTCAAAAACTTCATGGAAAATGGAATTAAAATAGAAATTGGTGCGAAAACATTTTGAAATCCATTCATGGTTTTCTCATAATACACGTTGTTCGTGAACTTTCTGACGATCCCTCACAGGTAAGCCACCATGTATCTAGAACATGAGGTAATACGACTTTTATTTATATTAAACAAACACTGGATCAACTTTTAAAAAGAAAGAAACTATAGGAACAGGACACAGGGATGGAAGTTAGATGTCTTGGAAAATGCTTAGCTTTTGTAGATTTGATTTGAGAGCTATATAAATATTTGAGTAACTGTAAGATAAAATTAAATCCTTTACAAAGCAATTTCCAAAGCAAAATGAAACAAACCAGCCTGATTTTACATCAAGTTATGGGCATAATTATATAGGAGTACTCTTTTTAAATAATTAAAGGCTCAGTCTTTATGGCTTAGTAGTTGAGGGAGCCAGATCGCACATGGCTGAGCCTTGTTCGAATCCCAGCCTTGGGGACTTCCAAACATAAGGCATATGTGCACGCATGCCCAAATTCCCCAAAGGAGGGAGAGATGGAGGAGAAGAGATTGCAGTGTGCCTAAGCCCTTTTTAGGGGTGCTTTATTCCTTTCCTCTCACCCCCCTTCTCTCTCTGGTGAGTACATGCATCCTCTGGCAATTAAAAATAATAATAATAATAGTTAATAAGACCTTAAGGACACAAAGTACTTGTTTTTTTTTTTTTTTTTTTTTTGGGGGTTTTCCATTTGGGGGGTGGTTCGCCGCTATAGGGCGTGTCTGCTCGCCAGACAGACAGAGAGAGACAGAGAGACAGAAAGTGAGAAATCATCCCCCGGGGGATGGTCACGCTGCAGTCCCTTCTCCTCCATTCTCCTCTCGGGATCTTGGGCACGCACGCACATGCGCCCGGCGTGTTTTAAGCCACCGGGTCCGGGACGCGAACCGCAGTCGACTACATGGGAGTGACATAGCCATTATGCTAACTGCTGGTTTCCACAAAGTACTTGTTTTAAAAGCTGAAGCAGCTTTCAATGATCACGATGAAAGACTGAGTCCCCTGTGGGTGCGTTATCAAGTCAAGCAAGTGAGTTATTTGCTGAAAATCATAATTTTTAACATAGAGGAAAAGGTGATGAAGATGTAAGATGAAAGAGGTTAAATAAAATCCAGTAGTCTTGAATTTGAATTGTTAGGATCAGTAAGAGTTCGTGGTGAATGTTCTCTTAAATAAAGTGGTTCCTCTATCTGTCTTCTGAAGGCTTGCAATGAACACCCTAGCTTCCAAATTTTAAATGCTGAATACCATTTCTCAGTGAAAGAAACTGGGGCTCTTTGAAGAAATGCTCTTTAGAGTAAGTTCAAACCTGAATCTGATGAACCCTGTGTGTTCAATGAACAATTCATAGGAAATACAGAAGACTAAGTAAGATGTTAAATGAATTATGGGGGTACAGTTAGTGAATTCTAGACTGGGAAACTCTACAGGAAAACTAAAATTGCAAGAAAAGAAATTTTTTGAGAGGTTTTTGCTATAGGGTGCATGCGCTCACCAGAAAGACAGAGAAAGAGAGACAGAAAGCAAGAAATTACCCCCCAGGGGGATGGCCACACCACAGTCCCTTCTCCTCCATTCTCCTCTTGGGGTCTTGGGCACGCATGCACACGCACCTGGCGTGAGTTTAATCCGCCAGGTCCGGAACTCAAACCGTGGTCAACTACATGGGAGTCCAGCAACATAGCCATTATGCCAACTGCTGGTCCTGGGAAAATATTTTTAATAATTACAAGGAACAATAGAAACAGAGAGAAGAACCAATGGACTAAAAGACTCAAGATTGTGGGACCAGCAGGTGGCATGATGGTTAAGGTGCTGGACTCTCACATGGTCAACCATGGTTCAAGTCCTGGATCTGGTGGCTTAAAAATCACACTAAGCATGTGTGCATTGCTTGCCCAAAATCCCAGGAGAAGAATGGAGGGGAGGCAATAGCAGC